GTCAATTATTCAAGTACTATTGCAATGTAGGTGATGTAATTTTTATATGAGAGGAAATGTTAGAATTGTATGTAAGAAATACTTTAGTTGAAATTCTTAATATTGCTATATATGTTTTGCCAGAATTCTATTCCTAATAGGAAAAGAAATATATTCCTCTTGACAATAAAACATTAAAAATTTGTTGTCAATGTAGTTAACTTTTTCCATAAAAACTTGGTAGAAAAAATCAGAACCAGGAAAAAAATTTTCATTTTTCAACTTCTAACTTTTGGTATTCAGAATCTAAAATTATTCTCTTATTTAAAAGTATTTTTAGGTAACTATAAACTGTACACTGTATTTATTGATATATTTATTTAAGGTCTTTGTCAATTGATTCCTTTTATTTTTAGAATTTGAATTATGTAAAGATTTGTTTTGTTTTGTTTTTTTATATATATATACATTAGGAAAGTTGTGCCCTCTTTGGTGGCAAATGTAGGTTAATAATTTTTTTTCTTTTTTCAGAGCGCTGTAGATACAGTAATGAGTCACATTCATGCCCTTCCAAAGCGGGCAGGCTTAGTACCAATCTTTGTGAATGCAGATACAGGCAAGTTCCGACCTGGTTCAACAATTACCTTGGGTGCTCGGGGTGACAGTTACTATGAGTATCTTCTGAAGCAGTGGTTACAGAGTGGGAAAACAGAAAATTGGTAAGAGAATGCATATACACAGTCTTACACTCTGTTGGGCTTGGTATAATAATCTTGTTTTCTTTCATGTTTGTGTTTGTCTTTTTGCTTGTTTTTATGGGTGTTTTGTTTTTGTTTGGTTAAAATTTGAAAGACTTGGCTACCTTTATCACACCCTTACAGTTCCTCTAGCCTATGCCATGCTCTCAGTTAGAGGGAACAAGGGAGCAGGTATGCAAAAACTGCAGGGTGAGATATGAACAAAAATGAGGGAGAGAAAATCTTCAGAATTTTTTTCAAATTTTTAGCATTTATCTAAGCTGGATAGAGAGGCACAAATCAAATTCCTTGTAGTAATCATTAGTTTGAAGTCTGCAGACCAAGATTTGTTTGCTCGAATTTATGTCTCTAATGGGGGAAATTTCAATTCAAACAAACTTTTGAATTTAGGGACTGCACAGTGAAATATAGCCTGCTAAATTGACTTTAGTTATTGTAGTGCCTGTACTAACTGAGATAATTAATAAAAAGTTTAGCGAATATTCCTTTTTTGCATATTTTCTTGATACATCATTTAATTATCATTATGTAGTTTGCAAGGAACATGTAGCTGTTTGAATCATTTAATGCTTCATAAACAGATCTTTAGCAAACCGCTGAAAGTGTGTTTAGAGATTAGCAAGAATCAACCAACACCACAAGTGTATTGTTGTCTCACTACCTTCTGTATAGGAAGGAAGGTTGGGTTCAGTAGTTTAATGTTTTTTTTTTCTTGCCAGGCTTCGAGATGACTTTGTAGATTCCATGGATGGAGTCATGTCTCTTTTGAGGAGAGAATCAGAACCAAGCAAGCTGGTGTACATTGGTGAACTTCTGCATGGCTCAACATTCAGCCCTAAGATGGTATGTATGAAATAATAGTAAGAATTTTAACAATAACGATAATAATAATAATAATAATAATAATAATAATAATAATAATAATAATAATAATAATAATAATGATAATGATAATAATGATGATGATGATAAAAATAATGATTTTTATAATGGTGATGATAATAATTGTAATGATGATGAAAGTGATAATTTAACATTGATGCTTCCATAAGGTTGATCCTTGTCCACCGTTATATGCTTCATTTGGAATTCAGAGATTTTTTTC